CTAAAAGATCCCAAGTCACTCTCTGGACGAAAATTGAATGCTACCACCGAATACAAATACTGAAACAGTTTTCTTGAAACCACGTGCACCATTCAAACTGGTTTCCTTTAACGTTAACACTCTAATGCAGATCGGACAACAGATAGAGCTGGCTATTTTTGTGTGGCGCATATATATCTGGTGCCCCCTTGTACCAATATTTATGTGTCCAAATAAATAAATAAATACATTTTAAAGCATAATTGGGATAATTTCGAACGAGATAAAAAAATCTTTTTTTGGAAAAGCCATACATAATAGGTATTTCATTCAATTGTAAGTGTTGAATTACATATTTGAATTCTCTTTTGACAACTTAAGCCGAATAGTTTTAACCATAGTTATAACCTAATTAAATATATACACCATATAGATATTCATACTTATAGTCAATGAAATTATTGAATAGAATGCAAGTTGGAATCAGAATATTACATTGTTTGAATAGCTTCTAAGCCATGAAAAATATATCCAAACTAAACTTCAATAGTTTCTTTGTAAATTGTAAACTTATTATCAATCATTCAGTCGTGAATTACAGAGAACCTCGCAAGATAGTGAATCGTCGTACAAAGTTTATGCCTATTATTATTGTTATTATTACTATTATTATTATTATTGTTATAGACTGCTTGTACGGGTTTTATGCGTCATTGGTCCAGTTGATAATTCACTGTTCTCTAATTGGCGGCATTATTACGTTATACATTGTTAGGGGCACAGGGAACAAGTTATAACAATTATTATTAATGCTGTGTCGTTATGTTGACATTGGAAACTAGTTTTATTGCATTTCTTATAGAGATCTCAACCGTATCATATTGAAAACAACTAAGAAAAATTCATACGATTACAATATTGTACTAAACATACAATACTATTAGTTACTATTAGTATGTTTTATGTTCAAATCAATGAACGAACCATGACATTTTTTCAAAATCTTTACTTCAAACTTATTCATCTTTTTTGGCAATTTTAATGTTGATAAAATTTTATTAATGTGTAAGTTAAAAATCAATGAATCAGTAATTTAGAAGGGTCAGTAAGAATATTCCAGATTTTTAAACACATAATTTATGTTTGTGGTTAAGTGCTCGCGCGCGAAGCCAGTAGGATCTGGGTTCGAGCCCCGCGTGGTGCGGGGTCGTGGATGCGCACTGCTGAGGAGTCTCACACTAGGATGAAACGGTCGTCCAGTGCTTCTAGGTTCTCAATGGTGGTCTAGCTTCAACTGACTCATGATTTCAATCTGTGAAAGTTAAAATTTATTGTTAATTTTCATTAGATCCAAGATCATTGACCCAGTATTCAGTTATCCATATTTTAAAATTCTAGTACTGTCTGTAAGTAAATCTTTACATGTAATATCAGTCTATGACAAAAACTAATAAGATAAACTAAGCATTGAAAGTTACTAGACGAAAACAGCACAATTCTTCACTCATGATAGACCATATAGAGAGATATAGATTCAAAACTGAATAGAAACTCAGAAGTAAAACAACCGAATAATGATTCTTGGTTCATCAAAATTTCTCAGTTAATGTTGAACTGAAATAAACCCTATCCAATTATTTTATTAAATAATAAATGAAATCGCCCAAAATTCGAAATATAATCCAATTATCTACAACAACAACAAAAATTATCCTCGTCCAGACTATTGTAGTTAATATTATCATAAATGACCTTAAAAATGATCTCGCCCATTTATTGATTTATCCTGTGTGTATATATATGTGTGCGTTTATTTTTAACGAAGAAAGAAAAAAATTATTTATTTTTCGGAGGAAATAAGGCATCGAAGACAACACCCAAATAAATGAAGCGTTAAAATTGCTCCATTTGTTTATCTTAAGTGAAATATTCATCTATATCGACGACTACTACTATTCGTGATCAACTTTTATACTGTTTACGATAATAATAGTTAGACTTACACGAATGTTATATTTCCATTTCAGTAGTAAGGAGAATTAAGTATGTCAGCTTAAATGACATTTTCCCGTCCAAGAAGCACCGAAAAATGGACTTTTAGATCAAATATTTTAACTTTGGTTTGATTAATATTTTCCCTTACACTATATACTTATGGAATCCTGTTTATGTAAACTGGAAAAAGTACTCTTGTTCAATACACGCTGTATAATTTTATTGTAGTGTGAACAATCGTAAAAATTGGTTAAAATATGTATCTTGACAAATGTGAGTGCAAAAGAACCTTTCTCAGCAGGGTCACCTGCTTTACACTTTTAGAAAAGGCTAATCTGATCTTCAAATCGTTTAACTTACCTTCACTGAACATCTGTAATTATTATGTTACTTGCAGCTGAGATTGTGGAAAGGTCTTGTAGCTCGTGTAGATGAATGAGGTGGAGTTTTGTTCTGTAAGCTGGATGGTTTGGTCGCAGAGCTTTCACTATTCTAAACAACATCATCGGCACAAACTTCTATCTAAAGCTTCACGACCAAACTATCTAGCTCAGAGAACAAAACTCCGTTTAAATCAAGAGTTGGCTAAATATATCTCTGATTGACTTTAGCTGAACATGTAAATTATTAGATTTGTATTTGGGTATGTGAACGTGTCATTTTTGCTAGTTGTTTTAAAGCTAGTTATTAAGTAAGCACAAATAGAAGTGATAAGCTAAAATTAACAGGTGTCCGGAGTTCTATAGTTCATAATGTTTCTAGGACTGGTTTTAATCAATAATGAAAATCACTAGTAACTCAGGTTCTATTCAGATAAATAATGGCCATTGTTTGTTGTGCTGATCACAACTACTTTTCAATAATAACTGACACATCTGGCAAAAATTCTCTCTTGGTTACTTTTTAGCAAACCACGAACGTATTTTCCTTTTTTTTTTATTAATAAGCAGTGATATGATGTGATAAGAAAATGACATTATTTAGGTCAATATCTTTGGTATCAATTCATCATGAATTTCGGCCAGGGTAACAGGTGCAAACTTCGTTCAGTGTGACATTTTGATTGTATTCTGGATGTGTTGTTAAATGGAGAAGTTACAATGTTATGACGATAGACATATTGAAAAACTACATTAAGGGGAAAGCACATTTATTTTAATTGTGTTATTCCATTTCTCAAAGAGAATAAACCTCCCATGTTTAATTTTTAGGGTCGGAAAATTTGGTCAAATGACACGTTGGGAAATATATGAGAAATACTTTAAGACAAAAGGAATGACGGAATCAGTTGGACCCAAGTCTTAAGAAGAGTACTTCTTCATGAGGACCCACATTTAACTGGATTTATAATGAATGTCCTTATAACCCAGAATCCTAATCTCAAAGCATAAAGTAATTGTGATTGGAACTGGCTACACACAGACTTTCTGTAGCAACTTTTTATTTCACATGTTCACCAATTTGAGCCCTTTTAGTGAAACCAAGATCCGGATGGGAATATACTGATTGTAAATCATAAGTTTTCCAATCTATTCCTACTTTTGGAAATTTGTGTCTAAAAGAATACAGCTGGAGATATTGAATATCAAACCGTCTTCGCAGTTCAGTACATGTACTAATTCTTCGTTAGATCCGAGACTTAGCGTCCCTCAACTGGATTATTTGGCACCGTAATACCTCAATCAACAAGTATATCAGTGAATTCGAGTTAAATGAAACAACAAAATAGAAAAACTTGATCTATATTTTAAGAACAATTTAATGTTGAAAATACGATAATCACGAGACGCTCAGTTTGTTATTATATATTATCCACATATTTCAAAATGCCGAAGTAACTTCATAAATGTTACAGAGCGAAAACTGGGTGTTCAAAACACGTTAATTCAAGTACAAATCTCCCTTTGTACTATTTTTAGTGACATAATTACTTTAAAAATCCAATCCCTCTCACCTGTCTGAATAAAGAAAACCTATTCACGTTATTTTTTACATTTGTACACATTCCTTTTATGTTATATTTATAGCTTGCTAACATATATACACTTAGTCTTTGTTTCAATTTCAGACTTGTGGAATTGTCTGCTTACTTCTGGATCGATCTTTCCCTTGCCAATTGAAATTCATATAACTAAAAAATCCCACCCACGCGTACATTGATTAATTCTTTGAAATACCAAAAGTCTACCTTGTAATTTTTCAGTAACTCATATGTAAGAGTTGAGTGCCAAAAACTTAGACAAAGACACATAATAGGCTCAGTATCTAGTTGTTGAGCTATAGCATTACGTTTAATTAATAGATAGTTGCTCACGAACGGTTCTCAGCCGTAACACTATTGAACAGCCCGTTTGCCTTTTTTTCGAATGGTTCTCAAATATAAGTTAACTGATGACGATAACTATCTCAGGATGTTATAACAAAACTGATTGGAATACTTAATAGTAATACTATGTAAAAACGAATCCAAAACTGTCGAATCTTTCAGAGTTGAAGCCAGAACTATGTGTGGAGGAAATATCAAGATACTCACTTGTACTCGTACGATTGTTTACTAACTTTAATGGTGATAGAATTGACTTCAAAATTAATCTAATTAGCACTAATCTTTATTGACTTTTACTAAGCTCTATTTTGTAGTATATATGACCTACTTTTAATCAACCGGTACTTACTACATTTTAAAACTAATAATTTTCGTCATTAGAGATATGGCTGAAAATCGAACATAGTAATGTGAATGCAATCATTGCTTCTATTCCTTTAAAGTTGAAAAGCGTAGCATTCCACACATTTTATTCATTCTTTAGACTTTTTTAATTTCAGATTTTCACTGTTATTGGTGCTTTTACCCAATATTTTCAATCTTGTTAGTTAGTTTCTAATCGTTGTGCAGGTTTGAGATGTACTGAAAGGAATCAATACACCTATGGGTCAATTCCTATGTTGTCTATCTTTCTATTCGTGTGATAGTAACAAAAGCGAAAGAACAATCAATTTGTTCAAGAATACTTACAACAACAGTATTTACTTCCATTACTTTATACATGAAAAATTCAAAACATACAACACTAATTTGACACTTAAAGTAAGAATTTCCACTCATAAGAACCACTATCCAAATAGGAATATATTTACAATATCTGATATATGATATAAAATTGACATCGCCCGACTAGTCAGTTTGAGAATCCTGTTCGGTATCTTTTATAGTTATCTGTGGTAAACCGGAATTAAGCTGTTCTAGGAGAATGCATGCCTGACATATAAGCTGACTTGAAATGCATCCACACTTTTCACAAGTACCTAAACACGAAAGAAACCAAAATAAACAAATATGTAAGTAGCTGATTTGCAGAGATTTGTGTAAGTCATATACAATGAAAAGAACAGGCACCCAATAAAGTGTGATCTAGACGCACAGCATACTTATCAGATGATAAAGAAAAAGACATCTAACCCGAACTATAAACAGCATTAGTTAGTAGAAGTCAAACAAGACCTTTGTACTCATGTACAAAGATTTTGCCTGACATCAACCCACCCAAAGTGGTGATTGAAGTGGTCTATGTGTTCAAATAATTCACTTCTTATTGTCAAACTAGATATCAAAATAGATTAAAACCGATGCAGAATTTTGGATATCAAGCGTAAGGAACATATACCAAATATGTTTTGCATTATCATAAACAGAATATTGTTTTTCTTTAGCATTCTCACTTAGCTTTAAAATTAAATCAGTTAGTGGAAAAAATAAATAGTAAAATATTAAGATTAGGCTTGAAATATAAAATTAAATTTTATCTGTCTAGAAAACTAAAAAGGAATAAAGTAACCTATCAGAATATACGAAATAGATCAAAAGTAATAAAATATTCATAATACCATTCGATAAGCCATTTCATATTAAGATGTTGTTAATTATGGTCAGTACGGACAATAAATGAGAATTGATCAAACTGGCAATTGTTAAAAAAAATATAACGCACGACTAACTATAAATGTTGGGATCAACGCAACAAATCATCTATACCCAATTCACTATACTTTAAATAATCCGACTGCGTGACATTAGTTGGGTTTTTTTCTAGTCATAGTAGATCTCGTACACTAAACGCTCATACTGGAACTCAAGAGTTGATATCTAAAATATGTATTTTAGACACATAAGGAATATCAACTCAATAACCGCGTATGGTTTAGTTTAGTAAACTACGAGTGACACTTATTATGGACGGATTACAGATACTACAAGGCTGTGACAATTGAAATAGGAGTAGCACAGGTTATATTAGTGCTGAACTGATGATAAAAAGCTGACACGCATTTGATTCGCATACACTAATAGAATGAATACAATGTTTTTATTTGAAAGTGAAGACATACTTTTCTGAGGCATCTTTACATCACTTCGAATACCCATACGTTCACCGGATGCTATAATATCTAAATGAAATAAGGTGAATTCCACTCTAACAGAAAGCAACCCACCTATGATAGTCCTAGGTCGTATTCTCTCCAAATCCTTGATAAACGCTCTTACATGCCCTCTAAATAATAAAAAACACGATAAAATACCACTACTTACCGATAAGCTTGTGGTGCGTATTTACATTCAGTTGAAAAATAATCCAATTTATGCATATGTGCATACATGACAATCTCCTTTTCGTAAGCATATTTAAAAGGTTTAAAACGAGGAAGTATACCATCTGTACCCTAAATATATTTGTATGAGTAAAATTAACTCGAAAACTCCTAGTTTTTCCATTACTTACTGTCATTATAGCTGTACATCGTTTTAATCGACCAATATCACCTCGTAGAACTGTAAGCATAAAAGGGGAAATGAGAAAATTGTTTCTGTTTCAATTCAGCACATAAAATCCCATAAAAAACATATAAAACTTTCAGTAAACCAAAACACACATTTAAACCGAGCAGTTATAACTTACTATTCATTAACACTGTCTCTGCAATATCATCAGCGTTATGACCAGTACATATTTTGTTAGCTCCAAGAAGTAGTGCACCTTTGTCCAAAGCCTGACGGCGAAATACCCCACAGTAAGTGCCTATCAATTTTTTTCAATAAACAAAAACACTAGTGCATCAACTACAATTTCGTTTATTCCCAATATGCTTCACAATATCATCCATTGACCATCCGTACAAATCCTAAAAATCTTTTAGACTGTGAAGAAGAGAATCTACCTGATAAGAAAGAATTTTTAACGGAAGTCCATATTGGATTTGATTTCGCTGAACAGTCTAAAAAAAATCATTATATTGCAAATATTTTAACTAAAAATAAAATAAACCTTACCATTAATGAGTCATCTCTATATCCACTTATACCTTCATCAATAGATAAAAGAAGCAATTCCGCTCCATAATCATATCTTTTATTTAACAAGTTTAGTATGTAAGCTAATACGGTAGAATCTAAAAATATAAAAATATATACATTTATATAAACTTCCTTTGCTTTATTTTTCTACACCTAATTATTTTTAGAAACTAATAATCAACTATTAATACAACAATCAATTGTTCTATTCTTAATATTTATCAAGTAGACAATTATCTTCACCTTGATATTTTCTATTAACAGTTGGATCATTGCACACCGTCCTATCAATATGCGATTTTTGTGAAACGATACTAAATCATTTTCTTAAAATTTATTCAACACCATTCTATTTTACTACATATTACTACTATTTTAAGTAAATAATATAATAAAAAGTACAATGCAACCGTACAGATTAGGCCAACAAAAATATCCATAAGTTAGGCGTTCACGCGCAAAACCGAAAGTTCTGAGGGATCGCGGATGCGCACCGGTGAGGAGCCCCATGGTAAGACGAAACGGCCGCCTAGTGCTTTTAAGTTTCTAATGTTGGCCTAGTTTAGATCAACTTGTGATTTCAACTGCGAAATTTTTTAGCTTAAATATTTCTATTTTTTCTTCATCGATTAATAAAAGGAAATCTATGATTATGTTTACCTTTACCACCAGAGGCACCAATAGCAATTTTATCACCACGACTAATAAGCTTGGCATTTACAATTGTCCAATGTATTTCTTCTTCGAAACACCAAGAAAAACATTCTTTACACATAATATCATTCTATATAAGTCAAGTTGAAAAATAATTCAAAAGACATATACGGTTTTCGGGCGTTTAATGTAACCTTTTGATTGACATCTGCAACACGAAACTGGCATACTAGTTTTACACTTGCTAAAATAGGAATTTGTTTGAAATAAGGGTGAATGAAATTGAATACAAAAGTCCATAATAGAAAAGATAATGCTACTCATTAAAAAATTATCTCCCCAACCACGGTATGATCGATACAGTATAGTGAATGAACTGGTATCATTCTAATTGTTTATTACTATACCTAACATTTAATAAAATTACTGCGTGAAATATTAGCTTAACGTAAATTTAACTTTGAGACGATTAGTTAACTGAAGAATAAATGTAAATACATTTTAATCATAAAGATTATTTACGACAAAGTGCAATACTAAATGAAATTTCGCAATTTGAAAAACCTTAAGGCAGTCAGTCACAACACAGAACGTGTACTTATGTACATCGGTCCAAGTCTCCATACCCCATTAGCACAGATAGATGAAGTTGTCGGGCTAAATCCCAGAATAATAGGAGTAATAACAATATCAGAGGTAATGGGAAAGAATAGGCATCGAAGATACGTCCGTCAGTCAGTCATCAGCAACGTAGAACTTCGTACGGAAGTACATCAGTTCGAGTTGCCATACCACATTTGCACAGAGGTGCAGTTATCGATTCAAATCCCGTAGTGGTAGAGGTGGTAAGAGTATAAGCAGTAATCGGAAAGGTTAGGGTTTGGAGATGTTATTTAAAGAGTATAATCCAGCGAAATAAATTTGGAAAGAGAAAAAAGAGACAAGGAGGAATCAGGAGATTAGAATTTGGAAGAACACAAAGTGTGGACACACCTGCGCCATTGCAAACGATTTTGAGCCATGTCATTTAGGGTTTCACCATAGGTTGCTATTGTCTCGCAGGTCCCTACCAGGTAGTCTACACCTATTAACATGGCTCAGTCCACTTGTCAGTGACTTCATGGACTCGTGCCACGTTTTGGTCTGGTCACCCCTATCTTTCTTCCAAACTATTACACCAGAAAACATCAAGTCCGGGCAGTCGGTGGTTGGGCATACGTAACATATGTCCCAGCAACCTCAACTGATAAAGTTTCACTACTTCATCAATTGATTTACCATCCTTACCTAGTACCCGATTCCTAACAACATTACTTACTCGGTGGTCCCAGAATATACGAGCAATGTTTCAAAGACACCTATGGTCGAATACTAGTAATCTACGAATATCTTTTACTCTTACCGGCCATCTTTCACTGCCATAAAATGAGACGGAACAAACTGCTGCGCAGTAAACCGGTCCTTTGGTTGGTAGACGGATATCTCACCTATGCCATAAATGACGCAAGTTGGAAAACAGTCAGTCAGCTACAACGTAGGACCAGGCACATATATGCATCGGTCCAGGTTGCCATACCTCGTTAGAACAGCAAGATGAACACCGGATTCATAGGAGTGGTTAGGTTAAAGGTGGTAATATATAGGAGAAAGATTGCATATAAGGATACAGTACCGGAATATAGAATTAGTTCGTAGAAAGAAAGATATGAAGCGATTTTAATCTCTTAGTTTAAGGGAAGACAGAAAGTGTATGCACCGACGCCATTGTGATCGATTCTGAGACATGTCACCGAGAGTCTCCAACCATCGGTTACGATAGTCATGCGGACCTCAACCAAGTAGTCTGCATCTACCAACATGGCTCAGACTAGAGGTTAGTGTCTTCAAGCACTGATGCCACGTTTTGGTTTGGCCGCCCCTAATTCTCTTCCAACCACCTCTAACACCCGTTAGCATTGCACGTCGTGGTAATCGGTGTTCAGGCATACGTAACACGTGGCCCAACCATCTCAGTCGATGAAGATTCACAACCTCATTAACTGATTTACCATCATTACCTAATACCCTGCGTCTAACCTCACTATTACTTACCCGGTGATCCCAACAGACGCCAGCAATATTTATAAGGCATCTGTGGTCAAATACTACTCTTAAAGGCCATGTTTCGCAGCCGTAAAGTAAGACAGAACGGACTGCCGCGCAGTATACTCGTCCTTTTATTGATAGACGGATATCTCGCCTTCGCCATAGGTGACGTAAGTTGGCAAAAGCCAAACGAGCTTTTCGAATCCGTGCTGAGATTTCTTCAGATACCAACCCATTAGGGCTGATCAGACTTCCAAGATAAGTGAAGTTGTCAACGCGTTCGACTACTTCACCCCCTATCCTTAGTTCAGGTGTTGACGCAGACCAGTCCTGAAGCAACAACTTGCATTTAGAGGGAGAGAAGCGCATTCCAAACATTCTGGCATTGTTGCTTAGTGCTACCAGAAGACTGCATTCTGTCAGCGTCTTCACCAAACAGGACTATGTCATCTGCGTATTCTAAGTCGATAAGTGGACCTCCTGGAAGGAGATCAATACCCGAGAATTTAGTCGACGAGAATGTTATTTCCATGAATAGGTCTATGATGAAGTTAAACAAAAATAGAGAAAGTGGACAGCCTAGTCGGACACCACTTGAGGTTGCAAAACTAGATGACAGTTCTCCATAAGCTCTGACTCGACTAGTAGTGTTCGAGTAAAGAGCCTTTACAAGGTTTATGTACTTCTGGGGTACGCCTTTCAATGACAGACACCGCCACAGAATCTCGCGGTCTACCGAGTCAAATGCTGCTTTTAAGTCAAGAAAGACCACCATCGTCGGACGCCGATAAGTATGCCTGTGTTCTAGAACCTGACGAATGGTGAATATGTGGTCGATGCAGCCACGACCAGGTCTGAAGCCAGCTTGGTTTTCTCGTGTTTGCAGTTCACGAGTCTTAGTTAGGCGTCTGATAATTATCGAGGCTAGTATTTTAGATACTATATTTGTTAAACTAATCCCTCTGTGATTGTCACAGGATGATTTTGATCCTTTCTTATATATTGGGACGATAAGTGATGGCGACCAGTCAGATGGAATAACATCTAACTCCCAGATCTTCGATAAAATATTAGTCAACCTAACCGCTAAAATTGGACCACCATCCTTAAAGACTTCTGAAGCCAATCCATCTGCCCTTCCTCGTTTCAGATTAACTATAGCCTTTTGAACTTCTGCTAGAGTTGGGGGACCTACTTCAATGTTCCATTTACACTGTCTGGGAATGATGGGTAGTTGTAGAGTCGCTGAAGGCCAGTTGAACTGTTCCCTAAAGTGTTCCGCCCATCGTTCCAAACGTCTGGACTGAAAGTAGATGAGAGTATCGTCTTTTTCCGAAATAATCTCACTTACACTTGACTTATTAGTTCCAGTTTCTTTTATTAGTCTGTAGAGCTGTCTTGTGTTCCCTATAGTCGCCGCCTTTTCCATCTCTTTTGCTTTCGTTGCCCACCACTGCTCACGGTCGTTTCTTAGACTTTTTTTTAACCTAGATCTGATTTGTTGTCGCTCTTCATCATGTTCGGAACCTGATGGGACAAGTTTGCGAGAATCCATTAGTGTGATAGACTTTGAAGAAATCCACTGGTTCTTTGTAACTCTGTGGGTTAAGTCACTAGTAGATTTCAATGCTGTTTCCACAGCTGTTTTTATATCTTTCCAAGCAACATCTGGGTCAGCCTCGTTTTCAGAACTACCTAAGTGTGAACTCAGTTGTTCCTGGAACTTACTTTTGGTTTTCTCGTTACTCAACTCAGTTCTAACGGGTCTTTTTAATGTGGCTTTTTTGCGTCCAGTGAGGCGCAAGCAGATGCGTGCCCGTATTAGGGCATGGTCGGAGTCCAAGCAGGTACTCCAGAATGAGCGACAATCTTCTACCGACCCTCTCCAACGATGACTGATGGCAATATGGTCTATTTGGGTCCATCGTTGGTTTGGTGTAGGGGGTCGCCATGTAAGACGATGTCTCTCCTTATGCTTAAAATTAGTGTTTGCTAAAAATAAACGATTGCCCGAGCACAGCTGCAGCAGACGATCACCATTATCTGTTCGCTGTGTCGGAATACTAAAATATCCACCTAAATGCCTTTCTGTTTGGTTTAAACTACCTATCTGGGCATTAAAGTCACCTTCTACGAGTACTATGTCTGAACGTTTAGCTTTCTGAAGAAGTTCAGAAAGCTTTCTGTAAAACTCATCCTTCACTTCATCTGAGCTGCAGTCGGTGGGAGCGTAGGCAGAAACGACAAAAAGGCAACGACGTGTGTCCCTATCCTTCCGAGTTCTTATGTAGCCATTTAGCCGAACAGCACATAGACGACTGTTGACGGGGATCTACTCTAACAGTGCTTGTTCGGCCCTCATGCTTAGTGCTATGCCTACACCTGCCAGTCCACGAGAGCTGGCCATCGGGTCACCAGATACACGGAGGGTGTATCTCGTTGGCTCTCCGTTTTGCCGAGGTGAGGTCAAGTGAATAACCACACTGGGATCCTGTATGCGTGTTTCGGAGACACAGAATACATCAATGGTACGAGATTCTAGGGTTCTAGCCAAGGAAGCCTGTTGACCGATTTGACATAAGGTGCGTACGTTGAAGGCTCCAATGTGTAGTTTGGAGCAAGGTTTCAGTAGACCTGGGACAGTGTTTTGAGCACTAGAATCGTTGGCTATGGTGACATTTGAGGAGGAAGCTGAAAAAGGAAGTTTAGAGGTGAAAGTCGATGTAGGAGGAATAATAGGAATTGAAGAGGGAGGTTGATTATGAATCCAGTGGTCTTGAGTGCTGTTAAAGGTATGAGGGCGGTTATCACTTCCCGGTTGCCCACACCGTGGAAGGGTTCTTCTGGAGGTACCTGAAAAGGAAATTGGATTAGAAGTGGTCTTAGTGACCTGGGAGCGTGACCGCAGTGCCCAAGGGATAACTGCTTGAGGTCGGTCACACACGACCTTTTTATGGGCAATTTTTGTGTTAGCTCCGTACTTGTTGAGACCTTACCGCCGGAGACGGATATCCGTCGGATAAGGCGAGGGTGAGAATAGCATGTTGAACATGCTTGCATTGTTGCTTATAGTGGTCAGAAAACTGCATTTTGTCAGCGTCTTCCCCAAATAAAACTATGTCATCAGCATATTCTAAGTCAACAAGTGAACCTCACGGTAGAAGTTCAACCCCTGGAAATTTAGATGAGGAGAGTGTTATCTCTAAAAGTACGTCGACCACAAAGTTGAACAAGAATGGGGAGAGTGGACAGCCCTAACGAACACCACTTGAGGTAATCAATTCTGATGACAGTTCGCCATAAGCTCTCACTCTACCAGTTGTGTTCGAGTAGAGAGCCTTAATAAGGTTAATGTACTTCTTTGGTACTCCTTTCAGTGACAAACACTGCCATAGAACCTCACGATCAACAGAGTCAAATGCCGCCTTAAGGTCGAGAAATACTACGATTGTAGGGCATTTGAATGTGTGTCTGTGTTCTAGAACCTGACGTAGTGTGAATATCTGGTCTATATAATCACGTCCAGGTCGAAAGCCAGCCTGGTTTTCTCTAGTCTGCTCTTTACAAGCTTTTGTTAGGCGTCGAAGTATTATTGAAGCTAATATTTTAGACACTATATTAGTCAAACTGATTCCTCTATGATTGTCACAAGAGGACTTTTGTCCTTTCTTATAGACTGGCACAATCAGTGATTGAGACCACTCAGATGAGATTACGTCCAATTCCCAAATTCTACCTAATACCTTAGTTAATCTCACTGATAATACTGGACCACCATCCTTAAAAATCTCAGGAGTAAACCTGTCAGGGCCTGCTACTCTTCCTCGCTTCAGATTTCCTATAGCTTTTTCAACTTCATAAAGAGTCGGAGGACATAAATTAACTTGCCATTCAGGTTGACTAGAGATCGTAGGAAACCGAAGTGTGGCTGAAGGCCAGTTGAACTGATCCCTGAAGTGTTCTGCCCATCGATCCAATCTCCTGGATTGAGAATGAATAATATATCCACCTTTATCGGAGAGTTTCGCTTACAGTTAGGTTCCTAATACTGGTTCCCTTGACAAGTCTGAACAGTTGTCTGCTATTACCTATTGCCGTCGCCTTTTCCATCTCTCTAGCTTTCGCTACCAACCACCGTTCGCTATTACTGCGTAGGCTTCTTATCAGCATGCGCTTAAGCTCACTCCGCTCGTCATATTCAGAGCCAAATGGGATAAGTATTCGAGCATCTAGCAGTGCGGTAGATGCTGATGAGATTCAGCAGACATCACTGCTGTTTCCACAGCTTTTCTGATACCATCCCACGCTGCATCGGGGTGAGCATCACTTATATGGCTGCCTAACTTTTTCTAGTTGTTCCTGAAATATATTCTTAGCTTGGCTATCATTCAGTAGGACCCTAAGAGGTTTACTTGCAGCGTCTTTCCTACGTCGAGTAAGACGCAGACAGGATACGACCCGAAAAGAAAATATAAACTAGCAAAATAAAAACAAAAAATTGATATGAGGAATTAAGAATCTCAGGATTTAAGGAAAGACAAAGAACCGATGCACCTGCGCCATTCCGAATGATTATGATCCATGTAATTCGAAGTCTCTAACCACTGGTTACGATAATCACGCGGACCCCAACCGGGTAGTTTGCACCCATTAACAAGGCTAAGTCTAAATGTTAGTGACTTCATGGACTGATGCCATGTTTTGATTTGGTTGCCCCTCTATTTTTTTCAGCCTGCTCCTGCTCTAGAAAGCATCGTCCGTAGAGGAGAACGGTGGTTAGGCATTCTTAACACGTGTTCCAACCACCTCATTTGACGATTTACTACTCCAATCGATTTACCAGCTTTACCTAGAACTCTATCTCTAACACAGGTATTGTTTACTCCGTGGTCCCAAAATACATGAGCAATGCTTTGTAGACACCCATGATAGAATACTAGTTACCAATGAATATCCTGTACTCTTAATGACCATATTTTACACTCATAAAGAACGGAGTGAACTACTGAGCAGTAAATTCGCCCTTTTGGTTGGAAGACGAGTGTCTCGCTTACGCCGTAAGTGACGCCAATTGACAAAAGCCACCCAAGCCTTCTGGATGCGTGCTGAGATTCCATCAGACACCAGACCATCAGTATTGATGAGACTCAAATACTTCACTCCTTGTCATTAATTCGGGCTCTGACACAAGTCAACCTTCAAGTAGCGTTTTGTAATTAAAGAAAGACAATCCAATCCCAAACATGTTTGTATTGTTGCTTAAGATGGTCAGAAGACTTTGTATTTTGTTGGTGTCTTCATCAAACAGAACTATATTATCTGCGTATTCTAAGTTAACAAGTGAATCTCCTGATCGAAGGCCAACCCTTGGAAATACAGATGTGTTATATCTAAAACTATATCTATGACAAAGTCAAGTAAAAGTGGAGAGAATGGACAACCCTGACGAACAACACTTTAAAAAACTAATTTCAAAGATAGTTCGTCATAAGCTCTGGTTCGATCAGTAGTATTCGAGTAGAGAGCCTGTACAAGGTTAATGTACTTTTTTGGTACACCTTTCAATGACAGACACTACCATAAAACCTCACGATCGACATAGTTGAATGCTGTCGTAGGGTCAAAAAATACAACTACAGTCGAATGTCAATAAATGTATCTACGTTCCAGGATCTGCCGAAGGGTGAATATACGGTTTGAAACCTGCCTTGTTTTCTTGAGTTTGCTCTTCACGAGCTCCAATTAGACATCAAAGTATCAGTGAAGCTAATATTTTAGATACTATCAGATAAACTAATTCGTGTGGTTTTTTCCCTTCTTATAAACTGGGACGATCAGTGATCGAGATAAAGTCCAGTTCCTAAATTTTACTTTAGATCCCAGTTAATTTAACTACTGAAACTGAACCACCATCCTTAAAAACCTCAGGGGTTAGTCCATCAGACCATGATGCTTTCCCTCGCTTTGGATTGCTTATAGCGTTTTCAACTTTACTAAGTGTTTACCATTCATGTTGCTTGGAGATTGTGGGTAAGTGATGTGTGGCTGAAAGCCGACTGAACTGTTCCCAAAGTGTTCTGCCCATCAGTTCAGTTTCCTGGATTGAGAGTGAAAGATAGTCCCATTTCTTTGAGATGGTTTCGCTAGCAACCTGTATTTTAATACCCGTTTCCTTGATGAGTCTAAACAGTTGTCCACTGATTTCTCCCAACCTTTTGGTTTAAGTTACTGACAGATATCACTGATGTTCCCATAGCTTTTCGTTTATCATACCAAGCTTCCTCGGGACGAATATCAATTTCATGATTGACTAGCTCACTCTTCAATTATTCTTAGAATATATTCTTAACTTTTTCACCATTAAGTTTAGCTCTAATGGGTTTACTTGCTGTGGCTTCTCTACATCTAGTAAGACGGCCAAGCTCGACCACCACGTCAAGGTGGCAGCTACTTGAGGGTAGAGTGAAATGAGTGTAAGATTAACATTTAGTCAGTCATAGTCAATCGAGTCCGGAACAAATGTTCGTCAGCTCGAGTTACGACAATACATTAGCACGAAGAGATGACACTAACAGGTATGATAGTAAAAACCATTTTATTGAAACTCTACAAGGATATAGCAAAGCTCATTCGATTTCTGTATTTTGTCCTTTTGCTCTTTACCCATATTTTTCATGTGCCCTTACTATATCGGTGCTATTACTCCGAATAATTTGTTACACATTTTGTTAATCTTATCACGCTGTACCGATATGATGTGTCAATTCAGGATAATGCATATTTGTGCTAGGTCCTATGTTAATCATGACTGACTGATATAAGACAATAAAGCGAACTAAAACTTTAGTGTCTAGAAGAATACCTCGATTGATAGTGAAAAGGCCGATTGGGCTGATTTAAGTAGCAAGACAATGTCAGAAACTAACTGTATAAGTGATTAAATTACTACAAAATACTTAACCGAAAGCGGCACTATTACTCACCAAAATGACGCCGTAGCTATACTCTCATATAAAACGTCCCTAAGAAAAATAAAGTATCTTCAGAATCAGAACCAAAGCAGTTGAATTTGTTCAGTCTTATAAATCCTTCAAAATATATATATTAATCGAACAAGACGGGAAATGGATATGTAGAAGGCAGGAAATCTAGCAAAATAATTTTGATATTGTTATTAACCTGTACAAAAATAGTGCTTCTAGTGGTCAAGTGTTCATTCCAACAAACCTATCCAATAAGCACGAAACTAGATCTGCAACATAATATTAAAGTATATATTTAACGAATTTGCGCCATTCAAAATGAACAGTAGTAGACTAATCGCCATAAGAAGCACGAGCCTGATTACAATAACGAGAAATTTTACAAACAAAATATACTGCTTCAGTCACTTCCATATCATGCATGGAAGTATTCCCACAAAACGCACCTTAAAGGATCGGCAGGGGCAGAATCTTGTGGTAGTCTGTAAATTACATTTTATACACAGGCTAGTCATGGACGAAAATGTATAATATGTGAATTTTAACTTACTAAGCGGGAAGCAAAGACGAGATAAAAACAGACGGTCCTGAACGGACTACCTATGAATGACGCGCGAACCTTCGTTCACAAGTCAAGCTTCAAAACCATAAGATAAAAATTGAAATTGTATGTGGAAAGATGTTGTTTTTATTTGGATCTGAAACAATAAAGGAAAAACACGTTAAATGGCTTTTCTCACTGTCTATCTGGAAGTGAAGTTGTGACGGCAAATTAGTATCCGAAATAAACAATTATTTGAGTAAAAATAGAGAGAATTATGGGAAGAAAATTTTCCTTTCGAGCTCATCTACTAAGTTTGGAAATTTGCATTTGTAGCCGCATGGTTGGTATACTTCTATAGGCGGATATAAAAGACTGTATTATAAAGTGATTTGAGACATCCAATGAGGTTGTGTGATAAACAGGGACATAGATAGGAATAGAAGAATGAAAATAACTCACATATCAATCTTTGATATTGGTGCTGAACTCATAGGTTTTACTGAAAAAACCTTAGCTTAAGGCTCACATCAGATCACAATTGGGTACACCATGCTACACACATCCCGCAACAACTAGTCAGCTTGTATCATGTATTTCACAACTCATCGACCATCTTCGAAATATTTATCTGGACCTTCGTTTCTGACTTCTAGCTTGACGGTGTTTGAGACCCTTGGTTGTCAAGATGTTACACACAACAGTGAAGTCGAATCCTGAATATCTGTTACATCTTTAAGGTAGATTCCAAGCCGTCTTATGTAGATCTCTATATAATGGTCAAACACTGTTTCGTCAGGAAAGGGATTATTCCATCTGCATACTCTCACCACAAAATTTTCTTACCTATCGTTTTGTTTGCCCTTCTGTGTTCTACACCTAAAAGGTTGTAATTATCTGTTATGGTGAAGAAAGTTAGGAGCATTGTACACTCCTGTCACTCTTTACTGCCAAGGTTGTAAATTTATTTTCCCTGAGTTTAATAAGAGTGATTTTTCCCTGTTTATTTGTGTAATGGTTGTTGAGAGTGTCATTCTACTTATAGCAATGGAATCTAGAGGAAAATTTAAGTAGATTATGTCTTATGTGAATGTTGAACTTCGTCTTTAATTGTTTAGGATTCTGAAAAAAAGTTTTGTAGTAGTATTTGCTTAGTGTTCTGTAGAATGTCAGTGGCACGAGACATCCAATGTGTTACAGTGAGCAATACCTTTGTCCTTTTCTATGACAGAATATATGAAACTAGAATCACTTGGAAAGCACGGGGTCAGTTTATCATTAACATCGTTGACATAAGTCAACATTAGTCCTATCACCTTCTCCACTCAAGTTTGGTTGAGCAATAAAAATACCTTACGGTAATTTTATCTCCCAAATCTTAAGATCGTTGGGACGCCATATGAACACTGAGATAGACCTGAAATCCACTAACCACCATGTCAATTTGTAGTTGTAAGTTATTCCACAAAGTGGATGTGTGGACTTGTCCTGACTACTAATCAGTGTCGTTCAACAATAGCAGCATATATTTTATTTCTGCTGTTTTTGTAACCCATGACGGATACCGTCTGGTTCAGAGTGTTGCTTCGTTTCGTCCATGGTTTCGTTGACGTCGTTAGTGTTCTATTTGGTCACTCGCGTGTAGCACCAGGCCTTACTATACTCCAGCAGCCTACTTGAGTATCGACGTGCCATAACAAAACCATAAATATAGCCAATAAGAGTCGGATGATCGCTTCACGTATAGGCAAAGACTGTCACATGTTTATATGAAAAGGTTCTAGGGACCAGATACATCGCAACGTATGTGCTCGAACTTATTCTTTAGTTGTTACGGAAATGAATAAATTTTATTTAGCTGGACCTAGTTTTCATGGTTCACTAAAAGCAGTAGTTACTTCTGAACAAAATGTCTCCTTTTACCCAACGTCCCATTGAATACGTCAAGGGTGTAGAGCCTCAGGAGGTGTTACCCTCCGTTTTATTGATAGAAGAAAGCAAACTAGTTGTTCCAGTAGGTCTTTGTTCAGGTCATTAAACAGAACAGTTGAAGTGCGTGGTTCTTTTCAAACACAACGTTCCCACTAACCAGTTTGGGATAAAAAGAAATACAATGCTTATGCAAAATAAGGAAGTAAATTGATACTTGAGCTTTAATGTTTTGACACTATCAAGGTGTTTTCGGCTAACTCTTAACAGCTCAACTGTACCTGTCATGTCAGCTTCCCTCAGGATCCATTTCGATGGGGACATCAATTTGATCAGTTAATTGGAAAAAAAAGATATTACTCCGGTTTCTGCAGCCCATTAGAGAATTACAAACTCATCCAGTGTCTAATCATTGCATGATTAGTGATGACCATAAGTTAACCAATAATAGAAGATAGTCTATAAATGTCATATACTTCATTAGCTTGTTATCTTATCTCAGTATCACATACCTTTTTCTGCAAATTAACCCCATGACTTGTACGTGCATTCTATGTGGAAATTAGAACTAGTAAGTGAATGGAAGGTAAGAAAATGAAATTGCCACGGGTGAGCTGCACAACACCAAGTTGGTGAAGTAGAATTTTCCGTGCTCTGACTGGTACCAGATGCTTACTCACCTGCCTCTTTATCTATCCTAAGGTCACAGACAAAGAAGAATCTATATTTAAAAATATAAATAAATAAAATCAGTCAGACCTGAAGAATCACTCTATTGTTCCTATGAAGTAATCAGATACTTAGGAAGTGTACGACTACGGGTAATAAATGTTCTGTTCCACAAAAATGTTTGGTCTCACAGAACGTACTTGTAATTTGGAAAGGAAATAGACATGGTGTAGATATCTTGAGCAAGAATATGCTTTAAAAGGGGTGTTGCACAAAAAAATAATATCAATATGAACCTTCCAAAGGTTGGATTCATCACCTAACTCAATTAACTGCATGACCTAGAGTCTATGATGTCCAAATTTTATGGTCTGGTTTGTAAATGCTGATATAAAAAGTGTTCACTGACCTAGAACAGCCAAATATCAAACAAAAAGGTAATGGAAGTACTTAAAGTGAAGTCTTAAAACCAGATAGGCTTTTTAGGGTTAACGACATAAGCAGAGTCCGATAGACTTATTTGATTACAGCTTATTTCAATGCTAGTACAATTACCTATGCCACAATATTAATAATCCTAATCCCCAAAATACAGATTTGCAATGATGCTACTACATAATCTATTGGATCTTACGCGAACGTCACACCATAGTCTACACTCACTCATCCTATCGTGACAATCAGCAACATGACGTCTAGCACTTTTGAAGAGCATATTCGGGCTGGAAGGTCAATGTTATATTCGAAACAAAAGACCAGAGATTTCATAGGGCAACTATACCTTTGTGGCTGTTGCAGCATTCCCTAATGCTGACCCGCACTTCATGTTAAATGTTAACCGTGAGTTTTCCCGGCTATCTCATGTTCAGCTTCGAGGACAGCGCGGTTTGAACCAATACCATTACATGTACAAATTTACGGAAGAAAATGAAGGACTAACAAATCCTCCTTGAAGTCAGGGTGTCGTTCCGTAAACTAAATGTGTTGCAGTGTATTCAACGTCAGCTTCCATTGCATTGCGAATACCGAGCAACTCAAGTGGAAGAAAGTCAGTCCACTGTGAATCACTTACATTTGGAAGGGAGGCGTTCAACTGTAGGTGAAGTCGTTCCAGCAACAAGTTAGCCTGCGAGTGACAGGTGGCCTTCGAGAATAGTCTGATTCCTAGTAGCGCAGTAAGAAAACAGGAAGGTCTCTATTCTAACCGGGATCCGCAATTTGTAGTGGTAGTTGAAGAGAAGCCAAAGTTCACTACCCATCATTCAACGAGGTCGCCGGACAAAGTTTCTTCAATAGTCTCATCGAAAAGGTTCTGTTTATGGCAATCGTCTGGAACAGTCCACACGAGTTAGAAGGTAAGATTGTCCGTTTGAATCCGATATGGATCCTACCAGACCCAGACGAACGTGATCGAAACGAGCGTCGGCAACTGCAAAAGGGTTTAAGGGACTTTCGTTGTGTCTAGCCACTTCAAACTTTTGGCAGCTTACACAGGAGTGCGCTCACTCCCTTGTGTCACTATTTATCACCAAGCCAACAAAATCGTCCTACGATGAGTTTGATGGTTGCTTGGACACCCGGATGGGAAGGCTTGTTCAACTCACCGAAGACGTTGTGGTGATAGTGTTTCGCCACGACTGGGAAATCCCTACCTATAGATGTGTCATACAGTACAGGTTCTTTATCTGTTCCCATCTTTTTGATATGTAGTTCTAAAGTCATTGAAGATAACTCGTTCTGAAGATTAGTGTCTTTTTGAGGCTGGGTGAGTTTAAGGTTTATATCTTGGAAACTATCCAAGGACGTTATACGAGACAAGGCACATGTCACGATATAGTTCGCCCCAAAAATGTGTTATATATCAGAAGTAATCTGCGACATGTGGCCCAGTTTTCAAGGTTCTCAAGGGGACTACTTGTCCGAAGATGAGAATGAAGAGAAGGTATAAAGTTTGTGGTCGGTGAAAAGAGTGAATTATTGGCCCTCCACAGTGTCGAAAGTGTCGCACAGCTTAATACATGGCTAGGAGTTCCCTGCCAAAAGTGCTATACTCCGACTAAGTGCCCAGTAACTGTCCCGAGAAGAATACTAAAGGTTTTCAGGTACTGCATCAATTTTTGCAAGACTCTTCCGATTGCCGAGACGTATGTATCTACCTCAGTATTCACGGGCACTTTGATGTACTCGTGTGTAAGCATGGTTGCCTTTGAGATAATTTCCTTAACTGTAGAGAATATTTTTCCGCATTGTCTTTCGGTAAGTGTCTCATGACAGACGCTCAATTTAGCACAAACCATCCATAAAGACTTACCAGATCGTTAAGCGTTAGTCCATTACAAATTGTTTAGCTCTGAGCAATTCAGAATATCTGTCACTGTTCTTTTCAGAGGGCGAATATTTTGAACATTGATAGTGTTCCCAAGAAATCTTAGATAGTCGGCTGCGATCTGACATTTCTGAGTGTTCACAGTAATGTCGTGTCCTT